GGGGGCATTTTTTGTGCAATTTTTTTTGGTCAAGCTTGTGACCCCAAAACACTGTTCACAGCAGTGTTAGCTTTATATATATAGATGTTTAAATAATCCATATTATGTCATTGTTTAGTGCTAAGCTGAGAGTGACAGTGGGGTGGTGTTATTATCATTTTATTATTAATTATAAAGAAAGTCGTTGTGAATAAATTGATTAAAATGGATTGATATTGGCACGATCCTACTTTAAATCAATTACTGTAAGCAAAAGGAAGGTATGGGAATGTTTTGTCTCTACTTGGCGTATCACATGTTCTACTCCTAACCATGATAAAAGGCTAAAAAGGGTATGACTGATAATCCTCAGCATCAAAAATGTTTTTGTGGCTTTGAATTAGTGGTTCATATTTTTAAAGATTATCCTAAGGCAAGAGAAGTTTCGTAGAGGTTGAGAATGTATAATTAACAGTCATATCATATTGATCATGACTACTTTTATTTTAATTTCACCACTAAATGACTCATATTAAGGTTAAGAGTGGAGGTTAGTTTTTTCCGTTGCTTGTTGGTTTGTTTGGTATTGGCAAAATAAATGTTTTTGAGCATGATTTTGCAATGATTTATGAGCATACAATTGCTATTTGTACTTATCTTCGTGAATAGTTGAAGGCTAATACTCACAAAGATTGATAAACCCCATAGGATTGAATATTTGCTCCATTGAGAAGCTCTTCTTTGGTATTGGTTTAAGCTTAATGTTGATGGTTGCAAGAAGGGAAATAAGAATTATAGTCGAGCAGGTGATGTTTTAAGAGATTCTTATGATAAATGAATTTCCGAGTTTTGCGCCAATTTGGGTAGATGTGAAATTCTCAATGTTTAGCTATGGGGACTTTATTTGACCTTAAAATTGGCATGGAGATTACATATTGATAAATTACTAGTAGAAAAAGACTATGCACTCATAGTTTATTTGGTGTTGCAAGCTGCTGGCAACAGTCATCCTTTGGGTCCCCTTGTTTTGCCATGTCGAGAGTTGCCTTTAAGATCATGGCAATGGAATTATTTTTTTGGTGGCAGATAGTTTAGCGACCTATAGCCTTAATTTAGATTTAGAGAACTTTTACTTTGATAATCTTCCTTCTTGTTCAGTTAGTTTTGTTCATGATGATCGACTTAGAATCTCTTGGTTTAGATTTATTATTAGATAATTTTGTTTGGGGTATTAGCTTTTAGCCTCGTTTTTTCAACCCAAAAGAATTAATGTCTCTACTAGTATTAAATAACAAACAAAAAACATGTGGAACCCTTATGTAGCTTAGAAGGTGAGTGCAAGAGATAGAAGGGAGTGATTCATGGCAAAATTGTAATGTTGGTCCTTATAGATTGGGTGAATTTGTGTATAGTTCAAGTTTGATTCCCATAAGCCGAAAACTTAAAACCCGAAAATTTGAGTTCGTAGAAGTGAGTTCAATTGGTACGTGAAATATATGAGCATCATGAGTTGGATTCTTATATAATACTAGATCATAATTATTAAACTCGTCATAGTTTTATGGTTTGTATGATAGTCATTCTGCATTTTTTTTTATTTTTTATTTTTAGTATTAGAGATGAAGGGAAAATAAAAGAAAAGACGGATGAAGAAGATGTGAATGATAGTTGGAAAGATGAACAAAAAAATGTATAATGAAACAAACCTAAACGGAAAAATAAACGAATCCAGGTCAAAACAAATCAAATCAAATCAAATTCATTGATTAATTAAGCACTAATTTAATTTGTTTTAATTAAGGAGGGAATCCACAAGCAAGCTTGGGGACATGGAAGCTTTGATCCCGAATTCAGGTCATGTAAAGTAAAAGGTGGAGTAACCTTGAATTCTGTTTAATCCAGTGAACCCATAATATTTGCAATTAAACATGGAGCTTAGTTATGGGAATTCATTTTTGCACTAGTTAATTTATTAGATAATTAAAAGACGAAGATAAATAAGTATGTGCTAAAGGAGAAAACTAATGTCTAGAAGTTATCCTTCAGTAAAATATGAGATTTTGGTGTATTATTCAAAAGTCCTTATGAATCAAAGTTAGTTTAAAATAGAATGCTATTAAGGTGGATTGATATTTTAAACTATTCACATATTATAGAATATTGCAACTTTTTAATATCTGATTAGTTCGAAATATCATCACAATTGCGTTCTCTAAAAATCATTCTCCAGTCGAGTTGAAGAGGTGTCACCTTATTTTTGGACTGTCCATTACATACAGTTATATGGGTTGCGGGTACTGCGTAAATGGAAACATAAGCCCATGGGCATATGGGTTAAAAACTTAAAAGTACGCATATGGGTTAAAAACTTAAAAGTACAAACACATGATGGGTCGGATCCACATATATACAGTATACTAATCTTCTTCTACTTTTAGAAAGATGATTCTCTCCCCTCGTATTTTCATTTCTTTCCCTCCCATCCTCTTGTTGTCTTTATAAAAAAAAAATCAATTTAAGATGTTGATGTGACTTAATTATAAACATTCAAGTAGGAGAGAAAAAAATAGGAGAGAGATTAGAAAGAGAGAGAATCATCCTCCCTACTTTTCTAGCTTATGTACAAGTCAATCAAATGCAATACCCTGCATAAAACAGCTTCCTCATGTCTTTTTGCAATTTCAGAATTGTTTGAAGTTTTTTTTTAACATGATTAGAACACAGAATAAGATGCCACATATTATTTTTTAATTTGATCGACATTTAAAATAAAATTATTTTCAATTATATAATAACATATGTCGTACCAATTCATCATGAAAAAGTCATCCAAGTCCTTCTGATCATATTGAAAAACTCATCCAAGTCTCTTTGTCCATCTCTCATCCAATTTTCAGATTTATTCTTTTCCCCAGAAAGGGAACGGAAAGATCTTTTCTTTTTGGTATCCGCATCTTATTTTTCAGTATGTTCCTTGTCAAAATAACCATGTTCAATCTTTCAATACATTAATTAAATATTAGATAAGAGGTGATGCCATACAATTCCTCGAGATGGGTTTAGTTGAATTGGATGAAGTACATGTCTTACTTTCGAAAATATTTTTGCTAACAACACTTAAGTGTTAATGCTTACTACTCTGTTATAACAGTTAATAAAAATTTAAATTTTGAGATGTATGTAGTGAATAAACACAAATACATATATCTCAAAATTTAAACTTATCTAATAATAATCAATAGAGTAGTAAACATTATCACTATTTGAGAGTGGTTGTACTAATAGAAATGATAAGGGAATAAAGTGCTTTTGTGGCACAGCCTCAACTAACTCTTGGTGGAGATTAATCTTGCAATTATACTCATATTCCCAGCATATATGGCAGGACCCTATTCTCCAACTAGGGCCCGGGTTCACTCCTATAAATAGCCTCATTCTCTTACTAAAATGCGAGTTCATTATCTCCCTAAAATTCCCTAAACACTTTCTCTCTCAAATTCTAATTTGGCATTGGAGATTCTTCTGCCAAAGCCCCCCGATTCATCATGGGCGCATGAGGCTCTTGGCCTCGATCTTAGGTATTATTATTTTACAGGTGCATTTTCGTCAAATGAGAAGACAACAAAAATTTACATCCACAAAACGCATTATTATTTACAATCTAAAATTAGCCAATTGAAAAAACTTGCACTTTCTAAACTTCTATCATTCTCCCATATTATTTCCAATCTATATTTTTTTTTTTAACAAATAATATTATCTACACTTAAAAAAACGGTGGGGGTAACCTCACAATTGGCTAGCAATAATATGGTTCAAATTCGTCTTTGGTGAAAATCGAACCTAAAACTCTCATTTAGTAGTGAAAATGAATACTACTAAACTGTAGTAATCAGTGACTTCCAATGTCTATCTTTGAAAACTCTGAAAAATAAAAAAAAGCTGGAAGTGGGGACCATTAAAAGTATATTATAGTAATTGTCAAAGGATCATCATAAATAAAGGAAATTAAATAATTGGAGTGTAAGTCCAAAATCCAAATAGTGCTGGGGATTCTCTAAAATGGGCCACTCCGATATTTGTACGTATCCATCTATTTAGACCTTACAGCTCCTCCAAACCCCAATCAAACATGTGTGTGCATGTGACATCTGAAACTCACAACACATGCAACACTTTTTTTAACTCTTTCATTTGCCATAACTTAACAGTCCAAATTACATAAAAAAGACGGTCAACATCTTCATTTGCTTTATCATTTAACATTACAGTTTAGTGATCTTTTTTTTTAATTGTAAGTGAGATATATTAAATTCTATTCTCGTTAAAGATAAATTTAACTATATTATTACTAGTTCACTCTCTCATCTCTATTGGTATATATAATATCGTTTGTTTAAACAAAAAAAAAAAAGCATCTGCATTTGCTCTCTGCCCTCCATCACTTCACTATGGTGCAACACTCACCCATATTTTCCTCATGGAATCAATTCCTTCAACATTCATCTTCCTTATTATAGAAAGAATAAATATAATTGAATTGTAATTTTTTCACCCTGTAATTCTTCTTTGACTTATTCATTAAAAGCTGAGAAGAAGAAAGAAGTGTCAGAACAAAAAAAATGAGAGTCTGAAAATTACTTTCCTCTTGGATTATTAAGAAGGAAAGATTCGACCACATGGCCTCAGACGTACAATCAAACACGTGTTACAAGTCCCTTGCCAAAAGATTGGTGTAAAACAGGCCACAGAGACCTTCGAAAGCAGTAGTAAATAGTTTTAACTAACTGAGTTACGAACTCTTAACACTATAGTAACGTAAAATCTCCAAATGTAAGTGATATATTTTAGTGATGGAGCTCCAAGCTCCTTGCACAATATTGAATATTGAAATACAATTCGAAGGAAAACTTCTGCATTCATGAGTGAATACTCTTAACTGAGTCCTGACCGCCTCGCATAATATTGCACAATATTGCTTATGTAACAAAATAATGTCTACAAAGAAAAATTAAACGATGTAAGATCAAGACAATGTGTTGCATTACTAATGGAATGGCAATCAACCAACCAGCCAACAAATTAAGCCAAAATAAACACAGGGAGCTGCTAATAGAGTAATTAATAATAAATAAGTAGTAAATTATGTAATTAATTAACAGAGTTTGATGTGTATTATGTTGATGATGATAATCAACTTCTGACTGATAGCAAGGAAGGAATCGCATTCAAGCTTGGAGCTGTGTTCTTATCTGAAGCTTGTCTAATTATCTCCCTCTTCCCATCTTTCGAAGAAGGTTTGCTGAATGCTCTCATCGGACTCGCAAACGCCCACCCCCAGCTCCGGCTTCGGACGTGGACGAGCGGCCCTTCGGTGGAGGACGAAACCCAGTAAGACGACGACGAGGACGACGAAGACGACGACGTCATCATGAACCCACTGAAAATCCCGCCGCATTTTACTCGCTCTTTCATGCAGTGGTTGTTGTGGTGGTTGTGTTCGCCGCCGCGGTGCACGGCTTTGGGCTTTCCTTCTCTCTGCGACTCGACTCTTCTGAGAGTGCAGTCGCCGAACCCAGTTGAGATCCGCTCGAAGAAGTCGCCGGAGAAGCTTCGGCTTCCGCAGCCGACGGATCTGGATCTCGAGACCTTCCGCTCGAAGGAAGAGGCGGAGGCGGCGGTGGCTTGGCTGCTGTTGCTGTCGTCGTCCGCGTCGACCGCCAGGTGTTCGCTTTTATTCCTCAGAGAAGAAGAACCCAAGCATTTGGAGTCCTTTTGCACCGACGTGAAGGAAGAGGAGGAAGAGATCTTGGAGTTGGAGTTGTCTCTGAAGCTGGACTTCTCCATTGCCTTCTTGTTCAGAGCGTGCGACGACTTCTTGGTGGATGAGTGATACAGAAACGACCAGAACCCGCCTCTCTTCCTTGGACTAAAATCCTCTGAACCATCCAGGAAATGGTGGCCCCGCCGCGGGGTGGTGGTAGACTTGCTTCGGTTAAACACCATGTTAACAGCTTCCCGATCGGAAGATGCAACAGTAGCACCACCGTTACCAGTAGTAGCAGCACCATTACTCACTTTCTTCTTTTTCTTAGCCAAAAGAAAAGAAATCCTGGCCCTCCTCGTGTTGTAAAACTCATCGTCGTGGCGGGAATTACTACTAATGCTTCTGGGTTTTGCCGATGACGAAGAAGTTGGGTGGACGGAGAGGGTGGACGGACCAGCAGCAGCTCCATTGGCGGCATTGATGATGTCAGATCTAAAAGGAGGGGAGGAAGAAGAAGAGGTTGCAGAAGCGTGGATGGGGAGAAGGGAGGCGGAAGAAACAAGCTTGCCGAGCTTCTCCTGGAGGCAGAAAGCGCAGATCCCACCTGGGTTGCTTCTGTACGGATGGTCACTGCACTGCATTCCATCTCCCATGTCTTGATCTTGATCAGCTACAGCATTCATATCTTTCAAAATCTGTTTGCCAAGATCAAATCTTTTCGTTATGGGGAGGTAGGTTTGATCTTTCTACACAATGGGTAGGGGTACTGTTTTTGTTTTTCTGGTCTTCTGTGCTGGATGGAGAGATGGGGGGTGGAAGCAAACAAAACAGAGAAAAGGGTAAGCAGAGATGGTCAGGAGGTGTAATTGACTGGGAGAAAATAATATATCAATAATCATGCACTAGAGAGAGAGAGAGAGAGAGACCCCCAGGAGCACGTGGAATACTGACTTAAAAAAGTCTGTAAAAAGACACCAGCACTTGAATATTTTTGCGGACGGCCCAAGCCGAAGAATCTATAAGAGACTCTGTACGCTCAGGATTAGAATTTTCCCTTCTTTTTCTTCATTTTCTTTCATCTTCTCCTCTTACATTTTTATTTTATTTTTTATTTTTATAAAAAATTAATATAAGATGTTTAGCCGTCGTTTAAATAGGAGGAAAAAAAAAAAAAAAAAAAAGAAGAAGGGAAAGGATCATTCCGTAGGCTCAACCACCTCTCTACGTTTGCAGCACTTTGCACGGATTCATTTTTATCTTTAATCCTAATGGTTTAAAAAGCAAACGGTTTTGATCGTAATAATATTGCATGATGATAAGATAACTGAAAAAGTAAAATTGAAATGCCAGAGTCATAAGGTTTTTTATAAACCTTCCCATTTTACGTTTTTTTTTTTTTATCGTGCATAGTGTTGTTTGATAATTAGAACTGATTTATATTTAGATCTCTTTCAAAGCTCTATTATGCAAAAATTAAACTACTAAAAATTAGGTTAACCACTTCAATATTCCCATTGTAATAAAATATAGTGTGTATTTTCAATTTTTTTTCAATATTTCGAGACCATTGAGTAGTCCAAGAATTGGATGTTAACGCATAGTGTAAATTTTGGATTATTTAATAAACTGGACTATCAAAAATAAATCTCTTAATTTCTTCATTAGACAATGAACTAGTGTTTCCTCTCTAGAGCCATGTACGTTCTCCCTCTCCCAAAAACCCTTTTTTTGAAAGCCCCTTGGGCGTCGACCCCTGGTTTTGGCTTGGGCCCTGGGGTATGCGGCTAGCTTGCCTTCCATCCCCTCAAGTCTCCTAGACTCCTAGCCCTCCTCCCTCCTTGCATCCTCCCTCTCCCCACCCATCTTCTCCTATGATTGATTTGCCCTTTTCCTTCCGAACCCTTTCTCTTTGTTTCTTTGCTTCCCCTTTTTCCTCATCTCCTCCCCCTTTTTTTTGCATTATTTGGCTTTTGCATATCCTTTTCTTTTGGTCTTTAATTTCTAGTTTTCTAGAGAGCCTTGTCTCAACCTCCTTGAGATTGCCTAAGATATGGGCTTCTATATCGCTTTTCTCCTCCAATGTTTCTCCCCGTCATCCGTCCTCCAACGACCTCTGCTAATCCGCCCATTGCGTATCCCGCCTCGACGGTGCATTTTGATGTTGGGTGGTTGTTAAAGTACTTTTAGCACTATTTGGTAGGATCATGAGAGTGGTTTTTGCACGGGTGGCTCGCTCACCTCCATTTTTTTGTTCATCCAGTTTGTTCATGAGTTCTTCCTCTTGGTGGAGGTGGTGGATTGGCGATGGCCAACTGGTGTGGTGGAGTCTACATTCTTCCAAATCTAGGGTTTTTGTTGTTGTGAGCTTACTCATTTTGAGTTTTTCTGTTAGAGTAATGCTAAGGATACCAAATTTTGTAAACCAAATGATGTGGTTGTTGATGATTGAATTATTAGTTAAGTATTTATTAAAATATTTATTGCTTATTAGTGACACATTATTTGATTTCTAAATTTGGTTTCAGAATTAATTTGATCTCTATAGCATTATCTTTTTCTATTATATTTACATTTAGGCTATGCTTGTATTTGAATTGTCTTTAAACTTTCTATTTCTTGTATTAGTGTTTAATTAATGAAAGTAATCTTTTTTGACAAAAAAAGACACTGTACTAAAGATGAACTATTTGTATTAATGAATTTGGTTAATTTACCTTTTATATAATATAGTAAATTTAACAATTAATTGGAAGAAGAAAAGCTTCTGCAATAGATTCCGTCAACTGCTCTCACTTTCTGTAGCAATGCTACAATGCTACTAGGCTTTATATGCTACGTGTCCTGCATGTCTACTCCCCACTCAGTCCCACTCCCTATCCCTCACGCCGCGCTATTACTGAATAAGTAATGTAGAGGGAGACAGTTTGTCTGCCCTCTTGTTTGCATATCATTCTCATTTTTTTTTATTTTGTACGATCACAGTTAAATCATATTAATATTTTATATTAATTTTTTTTATAAAGATAATAAGATAAAAAGTAATAGGAATATAAAATGTTGATGTGGTTTAACCGTGACCGCACAAACAGAAAAAGATGGGAAGGGCACCCAAACAGGAAGGCAGACAATCTACCTCCAATAGAGATAGTAAATTTAGAAATAAAATTTTAAAAACTAAACGACATGAAAATTAATGATTGATTTATTATTTAAACATTGAGAAATTTACTTATTCTTATTAATGACACATGAATTTGCAAATTTCGTTTTCAAAATTAGATTTCCTAACATTTCCTTTACTTAATACTTGTAACCTAAACTGTGTATGATGTCAATATTCATAATTATTTTATTAATAAAATCCAATTATTTGCAAGTAGACTCAGTCCAGCATTAACTTCGATTTACAGGAGAGAGGATCCTGATCCTTTTTATGAGGTTTTCAGAGATTCTCTAATCACATTTGTTTATCGTATATCGTACGGTTAAACAAAAAGAATTAATATACGATAAACAGATGTGATTGGAGAATCTCCAATCACAGCTGCATCTTTTGGTTTGTGGGAGAACGAAAATCTAACAACACTGTTCTGTCTGCAATTAGAAGTAAATTAATTCAATATAATCGTTTTTAATTTTGTGAATTTTCTAATTTGGACTTGTTCGTAGAACTTTTAACAAAAAGAAATTAATTACTTTAAACTAATAACATATTGTTACGTGTGGTTTAAAATTTTCATGTTGCAAACGAACCGACTCTAAAAATGTCATGTTAAGACACAAACGTCGATCAAAGTAGGACGTGTAATACGTTCAATATTAATTAAACTATCATACAAGACATTACTTCGTCGTCTGGTGGAAGTGGGAAACATATCAACCAAGGGAGATTCATTAAATTAGAGGTCCCCCTATTGTGAAGTTGACAAATCATACATAAGCATGGACAACTGATCAATTTTGTTAGTCGGGCTCGAGACAGTAAGTCGCGCTCCACTATTCACGTTATGGGACTATGGATCCCACCTCGCTCGATCGGTGTTAATCTCTTATCTGTAGCTGGACATCGCCTGCACACGTGAATCCATGCACGACCGGTCTTATATCTATCTAATTAGTTAGGGTTCCTTCTGCGTTCGGTCAACAGACATTGAGCTTTCCGAGCTTTTACTACGTGTGGTCACTGATAATAGGGTTTCTTAGTACAAATCACCGTACGTTTACAGTTTAAGCGTCTGCAGATTTATATTTTTACGTATGGTTGAAAGATCTGTTACATTTGAAGTTTTTAGTCTAATAAAAAAATTAGGAGTCGTTCGGTAACCACTTCGTTTTTAGTTTTGCGTTTTTATTTTGGGTAGTGCTATCTATGCATCTATTTTAATTTTTCACACATCTCTCTCAATTTCTAGTCATCCAATCGAATGAACTGAAGAAGATTAATGGCCAAACTTTAACAAGAGCGTGTAGAAGGTAAAAATGAATGTGCGAATAGCACTTTTCTTTATTTTCAATTGTTTTAAGCAAAAATCTATTTGATAACTGTTTTTCATTAACGATATCTAGCTACTTTCGTGAGCTTTCAAAACTTGGTTTGTTTTTGTTTTCATTTTTCTTTTTAAAAAAAAAAAATTGAGAACCTGTTTTAGTTTTCAAAAAAATGGTAGTTTGAATTAGCCATTGCATTACTGCCCCAACCTTTTCTGTTTTATGAATTCGTCGTTCCACAAGGTTAATTAGAATCGGTGGCATTCGCGTTGGATAATTATCGTTTATAAATTTTGAGCTTAAGGTTTGTTAAGCTAAGTGAAGCTTGAATGACACTAGATTAACGAACGTTGGCGGTTAGTGTACCTCCTTGCGAAGCAATGAATCATGTGAACCCTATTATAATTAGCAAAGTAATTAACAAAACATTTTGGTAGCAACAGTAGGATCGATGGAAACCTGGCATAGGGTTCTTCGCTGTGATTGTCTGGTGCAAGTGCAATTTAGTTGGACTTTTTCATAGTTTATTTCCCACGTACCCATAGGCCACGGTGACTGCCGACACATAAAAACAGATGATGCATTTGCCCTTGTTATGAAATATGAATACATTGAGCCACGTACACTCAAACCCACATGACAATGATCACATGATTTATAGAGAAGCTTGAGAGGGTACACATTGTACACTGCCGAACCGGCTTCATCTTGTATTTTTTTAATATTCCGTCAATATATGGTAGGGTTGTCTAATCATAACATTTTCGCACCGTGAGAAACACCAGACTCTATTCACGTATTTTTTAAATATCCCGCGAGTTTTGATAGAATATGACAACTAGGACATTTTGTTAGAGATTTCAATAATAAATATATAAATTATATATATATATATATATGTATATATGACTTGGCTGTGTTGTGCAGCATATGTGTGCGCAAAAAGGACAGCAACCTTACAAAGGGTTGTGTTTTATTCAACCTTTTGCGGTTGTATATTTTGTTGAATGATTGCAACTTTTGGTTAAAAGACATAATACTTACTCAAATTGTAATAGTAGAATTAAAAGATGTAATTAGTCAATATTTATTTTCTAAAAATATTAAATAGAAGACATGTCTTTTGGATCAGCACTATTAAGAATGGTTGTATATATTCAACTAAAATAAAAAGACTCGATGAACGGGTACTTTAATGCCTATAAATACATATTGTGGCATAATATTTCACACACAATTTCATAAATTTGTTTCTACATTCCTTGCTCTCTTTTCTCTCCATCACAATTTCTTTCTAGTTATTTCTAAGGGAATACAATTTAGTTTTGCTAATCGAATATTTCATACTTTGTTGTATCCTGCAAGTGATTTGCCAAGAACCTTTTAGCAAACTCATTCGAGTGGGGGCATATAACGCTTTAAGGAAACGATTCAAGTCGTACCTCAAAGTCATCCTTCGGATTATTCACCATAATTCTACATTTA